GGTGCCAGCCAGTGGAATGGTGGTTAAGGCAGATGGACCCCACATGCCTGACTGTATAGCTCAAGTCCTGGATCCAGTGACTTTAAAAACACACCGGGCACATATGCATATGTGCCCAATATCCCAGAAGGAGAAATGGAAGAGAAAGGATTGCAATGCAACCTTCCCAATTGGTGGGATGGGAGGGTGCTATCTCACCACTACCACCTTCCCCAATCTCTCTGGTGCCCTCTACATGTGCCCTCTACCAAATTTTTTTTAGAAAGATTTTTTTTCTATTGGGCACATGTACTCTCCAGAGAGAGATAGAAAGCAAGAAATCATACACACACACCCAGGAAGGATGACCACACCACCACAATTCCTTCTCCTCCATTCTCCTCTCAGGATTTTGGGCATGTACTCACATGCACCCTACATGAGCTTTAAGCAGCCAGGTCCAGAACTCAAACTGCGGTCGACTACATGGGAGTCCACAATGTAACCATTACGCCTTCTGCTGGTCCTGCAAAAAAAAAAAAAAAAAAAAAATTAAGTCATTCTGGCATATATCTGTGAAATTGGTTTGTGGTGTATAAGTCTGTCCACAAATAGCAGGTCAGCAGAGAAAGAGCCCCAGAGAGCTGGGAGGGATGACAAAAGGGTCTCAGTGGTGGTTTTTAAATGCTTCCTATATTGGACATTGCGAGTAATATATGGACAGCACTGATTCACCATTAGGAGAGAATAAAACCTGTTCTAAACCTCAGAAAGGCAACTGGCAGAAGGTGCGTGAGCACAGACCTGTCTGGGTAAAGCTTGATTTCCAGTGAGATAGACCAGATCATTTTCCCCTTGCCAAAGATGTACACAGAGATCTTCAAAAATTCATGGAAACAGTATTGTGAAAAAGCTACATGTGGATTTCAAACCATTTCATAGTTGTGCTTTAATTCCATTTTTCTATGAACCTTTTGAAGTCCTCTCATATGGCTTGAATTGTTTTAATCCCCTCAAAGAAATTGTAATCAGCTTCAAAATTTTATTCCACAGGGCAGCTCATCTGTGAAATCTGCTTTTTACCATTAGTATTTGAGCAGTTAGCATTTCCTGCACACTGGAAGACAGTAGAGGCAATGAGTACTTTGGGATTCCCTACTCCCCAGAGAAAGTATTCCTGGACAAATCTTTATGGCTCGTAACGGCTCTTACTCATCTCAGTGAGAAGAAAGATTTGCTGAACTTTTGCCTGTTAAAATACAGGATGGTAGCAATCCTCAAGGGCAGGGACCATGCCCCTGAAATGGTCCTTAACACTCCCCAGTGTGAAGCTACATGCATTGGGACATTTAATAAGGCTTGTTACAGGAGGAGAGAGCAGCTGTTCCTATACCGGCCAAGCATAGTGAGAAGTTTCTCAGCTGCTAAGGCTTACCCACAGGTCATCAAGGACAGAGCTTCCCACCCCATGTGACACAGCACGATGTAGCTGTGCTGAGAACAACTCCCTCGGTCCACTGAATAGCCAGGTAGGGTTTGTTGTGGCCAAAGTCCCTGAGCCCAGGCACTCTGGCTGTAAACAACATCATCTGTTTATTGTCCCATGGCATGCAAGTGCAATTTTCAATGTGTGCTTGATATTGGAGAAGAGGAGGAGTTAAGGGGACAAAAGTGATTAAAACATGAGTGAACAAAATTTATTCTTGTACTATAAATTGCTAACCCACCTCCATGAAGCTTAGGGCTATGTGGCCAGGTGGAATGAACTTATGTAATGTCTGAGTACCAAAATATGCAGAGCTAGGTCTTCATCTTTAATGGTCCATTTTCTTCTCTCTGATTAACTGGATTCTTCTCGCTACTCTTCCGAGATTTCTGGGTCTTCTTCTTGTTTGGTATCCATCAACCATTTTATTACTATCTGTAATCTTCCACTCTTCTATCCATTTAACACTTAAAATAACCAGTCCTTAACCTGCAACTTCCGAAATCTCACACAACTCAACTACAACTTTTATGAATCTATAAAAAACTCTCATCTCTATTTCAATATTAATCAAGCATTTAACATCTACCATAGGAGACATCATCAGACAAAAAATAGTTCATGCCCTGAATAACCAATGACTTTGTTCACCATATCATTCAGAAATTAAAATGTGTAGGATAATTATCCTTCATTAATTTATTCAACAAATACTTCTGAAGGTCTGTGGTGCACTAGATTCATGCTAGGTGCTGGGAGTACCAACATACACTAGTATAAGCGTGTCTGTCAAGAATCTCGCCATCCTATAAAGGTGACAGACAAGGGTACATAATTTACTCATAGCAAGTTAAGAGTCAATACATGTAGACATAAAATGCCAGGTGTGATCTAAGGATAGGAGCCGTCCTGCATGTATCAGAGGACATATCCTTCCTAAGGATGTACCTGATGCACGCACACTGAAAAAGTATTTTCAGAGCATTCTGTAAGCATTATCTCATTTTCCTAACAATACAAGAAATAAATGCCAGGTATCCCAAGAGTTATCTGTCATCATTTAGGTTGGGTTTGAAGGATCAACTCTACAATATCTGTATATTTCTTTCTGGAAGGATTTCATGCCTGCAAAAGAGGAAATTGTCGATGAGATTAGATGATTTGCAAAACACCATGTGGAAATTAGAGACTTCTGTTCCAGTCAAGGTTGTTTCCTCCTTTCTCTCCCCATGCCAATGGTACGTTTCTAGAATATTTGATGACATGTTCATAATATTCTTAATATTCTTGAAATTGACTTTATCCTTATGAAAGTCCTGAGATTTGTCCCAAAGGCCAGTGGTAAACTGCTATTGCCTTCATTTTTCACCATCTTAGGGAGTTTGGTATTTTATATCCAATCTTCTTTGTGGTTTCTGTCCCCAGTGTTCATTATCAGCTCTTGACTGGCACATCTTGAGGGACCACTGTGCTCCCTGAGTGGTCTGAGGCCAGCACTATTGCAATGCCATGTGAGAAGGGTGCTTTTTGGTTTTATTTCGTGTGGCTAGGCCATTAACTCTAGGAACACATAACAGGTGGACTTGCTCCACTTGCCTGGGATCTAAGCAGGTGCAGAATCTGAGCTGCTAAACGTGGAGTTCCTGGGAGTGGAGGCTGAGCTCCTGGCATTCTGCAGGCCATCTGCAAGCTTCATCAGATGGATGGGCTCAGCCCTACCTGGCACAGACTAACTCACCCACCCAGAGATGACTGTCAGCAAGACCAGCTCTCTCTATCTGTGTCACTGAAGCTGATTCCTCAGTGAAAAAAGCTTGACTATACTACCAATGACTACCTTCTATGGTTCTGAAAGTTCAGGTAGATGTTGTCTTGTTTTGTTAAACTGAAGTACCATCTTCACATATATGAAAAATAACACAGATTAGTAAATGAGATTGGTCATAGCTCCAATATCCAAGACCAGGTCCAGACTAAAAGGAAAGCTTCTTTCTTGCATGAATCAGGTCTGGGCTGCACAGTACAGGGCAGCATCAGGTCGAAAGGGCAGTGAGTTGGGAATCAAAAGGCCAGGGTGCAATTCCTGGTTTTGCATGATTAATGAGCTGTGTTACTTGGGTACATTGATATATCTGGACAAAAAGAAGGTAAATGCTAATCCTGAAGCTCCATCCAGTTCTGAGTCTACGATGCTAAGGTCAAAATATAGCTCTGCAAGGGGGTGCAGGAGTAGCCGACACTAGGCAAATTAGGAACAAAAATCAGTGGGCCAACTGAAGTGCTCTTCCAGCCTGCCAGATATGTGCTGAGGACTGGCACTAAGACAGAGTTCCACACATCATCTGGTCCTTATCCTGTATGAACTCTGTCTTCAGAAGTGTCCTAGGACAAGCTGACATTCCCAGTGTCTCAAAAGTGCTGAGTTGAGAGGCACTGTCCAACTTCAGGAGTTAAGGCTCAACACTGACCTATAGACAGGATGCTGGAATCTAGCTGCTTCTTTCTTTTCTTTCCTTTTTTTTTTTTTCTCTTTTTAAAAAAATCTGCTAAGAAATGTGTGTGTTAGCCAGAAAGAAAGAGAAAGAGAGAGAAGGAAAGTGAGAAAGCACCTCCCAGAGATACATCACAATCCCTTCTCCTCCATTTCTTCTTTCAGAATTTTGGGCATGGATTCATACACCCTTGATGTGTATTTTTCAAGCTGCTGGGCCTAGGACTTGAACCATGCAGTCAGCCATGTGGGATCCAATTGTCTTAATCACCATGCCTTCAGATGCCCATGAGGGTTTCTTACAGCTGATTACAGACTCAGGACTATTAGCTCCACATAGATTGGTGCTTGTGAAACTTTAATATGCACAGAAATCACCCAGAGAATCTTGTAGAAATACAGATTCTATTTCCATCAGTCTTGGGGAAGTCCTGAGATGCTGCATTTCTAACAAGTTCCTAGCTGATGCTGAGGCTGCTGGACCAGGGACCACATACTGAGTACCAAGTACCTGCATCAGTAGTTCTCATCCCAAGCTGTACTTTAGAGCCTTCTTTTAAACACCATAAACATTAAATATATTATTTTTTTAATTAGTCTGGGTAGGGTTCCTACATTGCTTTAAAGCACCCAGGGGATTCTAATATGAAACTTTAGAACTCCCTTCCCCAGATGGAGTACAAGGCACTGGCTGAAGAGCAGTGAACAGGGAGGCAGCCCCAAGTCTCCTGCTCATACCGGTCCAAGATGCAGTTAAGTGGGTCTTAGAGTACTTCTTGTTGGGAAATGAGGCAGACTGACTCATTCCTCTCTCATCATAGATATTACTTAGGTTTCTGTGGGGAGAGGAAGTGGAGTTCTGAGTGGGAGAAATGGAGAAGTGGGTGTTCCATGCAGAGACTGATACAATTACCACTCCAGCTGCAGCTTCACTGCTCTCTACTTCCAGTTTCTGGGCATGACTTTCCTAGCTCTGGGAGGCTCTCAGGGTGGGGCCAGGAGGGACACTGACCTGACACTGACACCTCCTTTTGCCCTGCCTAGGTGGTGGTAGGGAGCAGCGTCCTACAGCGTGCCCAAAGGCTGAGGAGGGCTCGGAGGCTGTGCTCCCCAAGCACAGGAGTGTGTTCCACATTGAGTGGTCATCCATTCGGAGAAGGAGCAAAGGTGCGCACTTGCCCCACACCACACTTGAGTCCCAACTTTCTAGTCTCTAACAAAATAGAGATAATGACACCGCCTACTCCCCAGGGCGGTAGGGAGACTCCTACCATCTGACAAGGGTCAGTTCTTCCACCAGATCTCTAACCAAAGCCAGTTCCTGGGATCTAGATGCCCCCAGGGTTGAGGGGGGACTGAGCTCAGTCAGGCAGTGGCTTCTGATATGTATGCTCAGCCAGAGCATCCGTATTTGGCTGCACATTTGAATCACTACAAATCATCCCAGAGACTTAACACATCTTGGGAGCAGTGCAGGTGGGCACCAAGCCCTTGTACAGCTCTCTATGAGAATCTAAATGCAATCAGGTCAAAACCATGGGTCCAAGAGGTGAGAGATTAAAAGAAGTTCCCCTTACAGCAGTGGTAGGGATGGCAAGAGAACAAGACGACGACCATGGTGGGGAGGGATCTTTTAAAGGTTGAAAGGGAAGGAGGAGTCCAGAGGGCTACCAAAGCTCAGGACATATTGTGGCAAACAGGGAGAGTCTGGGGGGAATCTCCCCACCAGCTGCAAGGTTGGAGCCACCTGGACAAAATCAGAACAGAGGAATAGTTTAATTCCACCTCCAATAGCCAGAAAAAGAGCACAGTTTCCCAGAGCGACACAACTGGTGAGGACCACCATGGAGGGGGTGGAGTGGAGAGGAGGGGTAAAACTGATTCCTGGGTTAATGCTCTTTTTATATCACATGCTTCCCAGAAGATGCACTAGTGGCTGTCTTCCTCTAGTTTAAACCTCATTTCATACCAAAAATCCAGAGAAATGGGACTGGAGTGGGTATAGAAAAATGTGCAAGGTGCAGAAGGTAAAGAAGATATCTCAAAGATCCTTCTAGCCCAGGAATTTGTCTTTGACCATTAACTACCTTCCTCCTCACATGATAGCATTTGGGGGCTGGAGTTGGAGGTAGACATAGTAGAGAGCCCCATGCAGAGGGTCTCGGATGTGGACGTTATCAGAATTTCTGAAGCTCATTCAAGATTGGAGGGAAAAAAAAAAAGAATTGCTGAAGCTCCAGCAAGCAGAGGGAAGCATCAGACAGAACCAGCGGGTCAGGCAGGGTATCACACACACTGGCCTTCAAGTTCGGACAAATCCTTTCTTCTTCTTGTTCTCCCTTTCAAAGTTTCCAAAATCCATTTGTTTTTCCTGCATGGTGTAACTTCCCAACCACACACCGGTGTTTGCAGTGCCTGCTCCTTCAAATGTGTATAGAGCCTTTGATGCCTTCCTCCTAGTGCTAAGACAGCCTGAAGACTCAGGAATGCAGAAAGCGAACAGCACTTTCAATCTGGAAAAATGGTCCGAGACCAGCCTGACATTCTCACACTTAACCACCAGAGGGAGCCAGAGCATCAATACTGAACCGTCCAAAATCGTGAACTTTGTCCGTAGGGAAAAAAAAACAATCTTTAAAAATAAATGATCTGTAATAATAAAAAGCATCTCTAAAACCACATTACAAAGGTTTTATAGAATTACAAGGATATACCAAATCTGATTCAATGAACTACATAGATACCACTTGTCCTAATCCAACAAGCAGTTGTTACTAAAATGCCTAAAATTCAGAGTAAAACATGCTCCCCCCCCAAAAAAAAAAGTCTTAAGTCATTCAGATTGGGAGAGTCATAGCCAAATTCAAATACAGATCCTGTATGACTCCTTTTGAGGAGGAAGTCAGGGACTGCAAAAACATCTAAGTTCCCTTCTTAGTACAGCCATAAGAACTCCATTTTTAGAGGAAAACAAACCCTGAATTCATGGATCACAGACAAGTCACTGTCCCTCTGGGCTCTGTTTTCTCATCTAAAATTATAGGTTGAGCTAAATCAGGATTTCTTAATTAAAAGTTGGTGGAGTTTTTGAACTCCATAAATTCCTTGTAAAATGTTATTCACAAGAAGATGCACATTTTTCCCCAATGGGAAGGTCTGAATGGGTCCACGGCCAGTGAAAGATAAAGGGGCCTTCCAGCTACAAGACTCCATGGTTCTGCACTTCTTGAGTGGCAAAGGAAGATGCCAAAAATTCTAACTCGGGCCTTGCAAGCAATTAGCTACAAAGGTGCCAGAGGTGAAGTGGCCTAACTGATCATGCTCTTTCCTCCCAACTCCAGTATTTGGAAAAGGTGAACACCAGGAGAAACAAGCCAGAGACCCATTCCCCTATTCATACCGGAAGCCCACAGTGGAACTGCTTGTGAGTATTGAGTGGCCCACGGTAAGGGACCATGCCTTGCAAGCACAAAGTCTATGCAGATTAGGGAGCTGAAATCCGTAAAAGATGTTCCCTAATTTAGGCTAGCTTTTCTTGAATTCGCGTTTTCAGAAATGTAATTACCTGGGATAAAAATATCTGTTTTCTCATTTACTTTGCTAAATTTTGTATTCCTTGTGTTTGAATTATTTACTGTCAGGCTTTCTCTAAACCCAGCATTCTAGCATTTAGGAAATAAGCTGGTGCCAATTTTTAAAAACAGAATCTTTACATGTTCAATTGTACACCTTTATATTCATGGAAAGTTAAATTCTAAAGACTAAGCATGCTAAGAGAAAATAATTTCTTCTCAAGTATGGTACAGTGAAAAGAATGCTTTTCTAAGAAAAGAAGAATAAAAATCTAGAGGCCAGATGGCGATGCACAGGGAAAATGCAAACTCTGTAAAGCAATTCCATATGGGAAGGTCCCTGGTTCATGTCCAGAACATTCCCTGAGTATTAAATACATACTTGCCTTTCATCTGCGTCTGGTTAAAACCAGGAGTAGATCATAGCATCTCTGACCCCATTTCTCTGTCTCTCTCTCTCTCCTTCTCTCTGTCGGTCTCTCTCTCTCATCCACTCTCTGTCTCTCTCACTCAAGGAAAAAAACAGAATAAACTTTTTTTTTTTAATCTAAAAGTCTATGGTTAGGACAGCCACAGTGGCCTAGTAGTAGCACAACACTCTGTAGTGCTGAGGCCATATGGGAAGGTCCCAAGTCTGGCCCCAGGGTCTCCTTGTACACAATAGGCACACACGTGTACTGGTGATCCCAACTGCCTGAAGCTGGATCACAACATGAAGATCCAGTTGGGGATGCCTGTGTATATGTCTGTCTGTCTCTCTCTGTCACTCTTGCTCATCGAAAAAATAACAACTTTAAAAACAAAACCTGTTGTATAAATCTTAATCCTATCATTTGATCTTGACCTTGGCAAATGAGGATCTCTGCAAACCTAAGCCCTTGTCCACAGGATGAGTGTAAAGAAGTCATCTTATACCTCATGGTAGTTGTCCATTTTAAATGAGGTAACATGTCAAACAAAACAAAAGATGTTCTAATCTACAGTAACAGGGAGATGATTAAATAGCAATTTAACTAAGCACCAAATTTAAATCTTAGCATCATTCCTTATCCCTGAGTAATCACATATGTCACTTCTCACGTGAAAAACACAGACTATGGGAGATTCTTGACTGCCTCTCATCCCGGGACAGGATCTGGACACCATGGAGGAGAACTCTGAGATAAAGGTGGAAACAAATGTTTCCAAGACCTCTTGGATTCAGAGTTCCATGGCTGCAGGAGGTAAAAACGTCAGAAGAGCCCTCAGCTACATCACAGGAGAGATGAAGGAGTGTGGAGAGGGGCTGAAAGGTAACACCTGTGAGAGTGGCCTCAACCCTGACCGGGGGAAAGTCACCTCCCGATGTCCCTGGGAAACATTGCCATGGGGGTTCCTCACAGGCTAGATTGAGATGTTTCTACAGTCTCAGAGAAGCTGGGAGTTTTGCTGTTGTAACAGACGTAGTGTCTTGGGGTGTAAATGCCAATGCATCTAAGCATGTGAGCTCTTGTTACTGAACATAACAGATCTGGTCTCTCAATATCCCAGCCAACTACTGCAGACAGGAATTTTTAGCACTGGGATTTTGGAGCCAGCATTCTGGCTTGTGGAATATCTATGTCTACTAGTCTAGTAGAGTCTCTTCAGCAATCTTCTCAAAACTCAGGGCACACATTTAATGCTTACTAGGAAGCAAGAGACTTTTAGTGGAAACTCTTGGAAGGGATGGGGGCACAGATAGCTTGGGACACTTAATCTCTGCTGCTGGGTAAACAACCTGAAGACAGCATCTGGCTGACAACAGGTCTCAAGTTTTCTAGACAGTCTAACACTCTCTCTTTGTTTACCCTTTTCTATGGCCAGTGAGAGTGGGGCAGCTGCTCCCTGCAAATCCACTTTGGATGCCAGATTCCCTCACACCTTCCATCCATGCAGACCTGACCCAGGTCATCCTACATTGAGCACTCACTGACTTCCTTACTGGTTCCATTACAGACAAATCTCCAGTGTTCCAGTTTCTCGACTGGGTCCTGCGGGGCACATCTCAGGTGATGTTTGTGAATAACCCTCTCAGCGGCATCCTCATCATCGCCGGCCTCTTTGTTCAGAACCCCTGGTGGGCCATCTCAGGCTGCCTGGGCACTATTGTGTCCACCTTGACAGCGCTCATTCTGAGTCAAGACAGGTAAGTCCCTGAGGCCCAGGTCCAAGCATGAAGCCAAGAGGTCACTCCCTCTGGAGACAATCCCTCCCTCCCCACCTCCAGCTCAGAAACCCCTGAAAATAAGGGCACTGACAAATAAAAACAACTCTTCCATGATTACTTTTCCATAGCAATACATTGTCTATAGAAATACTAAGTGTTGATAGGGTAGATGTCTTTCCTCCCCACTCCCAAAAGGGTGGTCCTTTGGAGATATGTGTGTCAGGCTTCAGTTGAAGAAAATCCAACTCAGGAGGAAAACTAAAAAGACCATGGCAAAGTTCCCACATCACTAGCCCCCTTTCTCTCCCACCAGATCAGCCATCGCAGCAGGACTTCATGGCTACAACGGCATTCTGGTGGGGCTGCTGATGGCCGTGTTCTCAGACAAAGGTGACTACTACTGGTGGCTTTTGCTTCCCGTCATTGTTATGTCCATGACTTGGTAAGTTTTGCATCTCGGATTGTGGGTTCAGATCAAGAGTAACTGCCATGGTTTGAATGTGTTCCCTAAAAATTAATGTGTTTAAATTTGTTTGTGATGGTATTAAGAGGATAGAAACTTAATCTGACTATGAGATTAGGAGGCGGAGCCTTTGCAGATGACTAGAATGAGATAAGGTCACCAGAGTTGGTTTATAGTGAGGGAGTGAGACCAAAGCAGAAACACAAAGGCACACAAGTTTTGCCCTCTCACTATATAATGCTCTGAGCCACCTCAAAACTCCGCAGAGAGTCTCCACCAAAAATGAAAACCCTCACCAGATGTGGCCCCTTCATTCTGGGCCTCCAGAATTGTGAGCTAAATAAATCTCCATTACTCAGTCTGCAGTAATCAGTTGTTAACATAAGAAACATGGATTATAACGGCAAACAACATTTTCATCCCAACCCAATGACTATCTGTCTCAATTGATTTTAACATAGCAGTTATTTAAAATAGGCTTTAGTTAGCTTGCACGTTAGACATATCCTCTGGAAATCATTACTTATGTTTTGCTGTAACAGCACCATGCTAGGTCTTCTGTATACAGTATCTCATTGGCTACCATCTATGCCTGGGATGGTAGTCAGTTTTTTTAATTGCCAGGGGGTATGTGCACTCACCAGAGAGAAACAGAAAGACAGCGAACAATGTAGGGGAAAAGTGCCCTCTCTCCCCAGTGGGGCATGATCATGTCACAATCCACTCTCCATTTTTCCATCCTGTCAGATTTTGAAGCACATACACATGCATGCCCAGCATGATTTTTAAGCCACTTGGGCCAGGATTCAAATAGCAGTTAACCATGCAGGCTCCAACTTCCCTAACCATTAGGCTATAAGACTGGCCTAAAACTATAGGACTCTTCAACGATATTTTGAGACTCCCTGCTTAAAACTTTTCCCAGAAAGCCTTCCTTCTGTGGTTGAGTCTGGGCAAGTCTTCCTCTCTTTGGGCCTGGAGCAAGAAGAAGGCCTGAGAGGAAACCCACTGAGGACATTCAGGCTCAAAGGAAGGTGCCCAGCAGGCTGCTTTCTTTGGAAAGGCTCAGGTATCCCTCCCTGCTGCACAGTCTAGTGCCAGAGCCATGCAGCCGCCTGACCAGCCTCTCTCATGCTTCTCCCCATCAGCCCAATCCTCTCCAGTGCCCTGGGCACCATCTTCAGCAAGTGGGACCTCCCAGTCTTCACATTGCCCTTCAACATCGCAGTGACCTTGTACTTGGCAGCTACAGGCCACTACAACCTCTTCTTTCCCACGATACGCCTTCAGCCTGTGTCCTCCGTGCCCAACATCACCTGGTCAGAGGTCCAGGTGCCTTTGGTAGGTATTATGGAAAGAGGAAGGGCACTGTCCGTCCAATTTTGATGACAGAGTAGCATTTACTTGTTTTACACATCAGAAATGTCTATGAGGAATAATCATTAATAATTATACACCACAAGGCACTCTATGCATGTACACAGTGCATGAGCTACCATTCTTTTCTCTTGCTAAGAGCTAAAAGGGCTATATCTGGTCCCGCCCTATAATAGCACTTGCCTGAGGTCACACAGTGAATTAGTGAGGAGCAAAGCTGGGACTAGAACTCCAGCCTCCTGACTTCCAGGTCCCTGGTTCTTTGCTTTTGTTTTTTCGGGTTTTTTGTTTTGGTTTTTTTTTTAGAGGTTTTTGCTATAGGGCGCGTGTGCTCGCCAGACAGACAGAGAGAGACAGAGAGACAGAAAGCGAGAAATCACCCCCAGGGGGAATGGCCACGCCGCAATCCCTTCTCCATTCTCCTCTTGGGATCTTGGGCACGCACGCACACGCGCCCAGCGTGAGTTTAAGCCACCAGGTCCGGGACTCAAACCGTGGTCGACTACATGGGAGTCCAGAGACATAGCCATTACACTAACTGCTGATCCCCTTTTCTTTTTAAAAAGGTCTTTTTGATGCTTTCATTGTAATGCAGCTCTGCTGTATATTTTCATAAATTCAATTACAGTGCATTATTAAAAATTTATACATCATGTTACCATCTAGTAGCTTAACAAGTCACTGCTCCCTCCTCTGGAGTGTATTCCATTCACCATCTGAGGCTTGCCCCCATTTCAAAGTACAAGTGTGTCTCCCCTAAGAAACATACATAACAGAGCTTTTAAAGTTGTAATTTTTTTTACAAGTATTCTGCATATGATGCTAGCCTCTGGATGTCTGGCCAAGATAATGAATAAGAAGCTACACCCAAAGCATGAAATCGGCATGGAGAAATGTGCCCATTCTCTGCCTTAGGTAACTGGGCCCTCTCACTTTCCATTAAACTAACAGGCCCACGTCAGGCGCTCACTCTGAAAGTCATTATTGGCAATTCGTCATCTAACCACGAGGCCACTTAAGTTTGTTGAAAGACCATAGTCTCAAAAATAACAGTGCCTGGTTTCTCTTGGCATTCCATAGCAGGTAGCCACACAGAATAGGAGGAAGAGCCTTGCATTTGCACTAAGAGGCATCATCATTGAGGAAGAGATTTATTTGTGGCAGCCCCATCTCTGCTGATTGTGGATGTGTGAGGACCTTTACAGGCTGGAGTCGAAAAAAGGCACTGCGTTGTCAGTTCAGCTCCTAAGGCTTCCCATTCTAGGCTTCCCAGTGAATGTCTCTGGGAGGCCAAACTCTAATTGATGTGCTATGGGAGGGTGATGTCAGCAGATTCAAGTTTAAGATATTTTCCATTTTTCTTGCAGTATTTTCCATTGAAAAGACAGTAGGAATTTTCTGAAACTGGAAAACTGACCTGGAGAATCCTGTACAAACACTTCAGAACCCCTAAGTTGCAGGCCGGAAAGAAAAATACAACTTTTGGTGGTTGTTCTTTAAGAAATGCCACTTGAACGGTTGTGGTGATTCGTATGTTCTGTCTTGTTGGCCATCACAATTAGAGCCTCGAGTTCTGGGAAACCAGTGGTGCATGTCAGAGAGAGGATCAAACTTTCAACAGTTCTGAGTCTTCACTGGTTCCTTTGTTTTCATAGCCATTGGCGAGGCCCCTCAAGGATGTGACTATTGGGAATGAAACTGCCCAGTGCCACTGCCCTTGTGTAAAACTCTCCTTCCCTTCGTGTGGTGATTCTGGAGCTCCCATTCTGTTCTCTGTCTTGGAATAATGGGCAGCTGAACCCAGAGGGCTAGCCTGCTAGGCCATCCTCCTATCTCTGTAACTCACTGTGGTGTGAGAGCCCTTGAGCTGCAGGACCTCCACTCCCTGCACCCTCAGGAGGCAGATACCTCTCAGAGGCCCTGGGCTGAGAGAACTGCCTTACCATAACACACATTCACTCGCCCCAGGACTCTGTATCTCCTCAGCTCACTGCCCACAGGGTGAGGTGAACCCTGGCACATCTCAACCTGTCCCAGAGCTCCTCCTTCCAGTACTTTCCCCAGCTCATGTGCCTTTGGCCAAACACTCCAAAGCACAGGACCCAGTCTCAGTCCCTGGAGAAGCCTAGTCCATAGGTCCTCTGGCACATGGGCAAGTGCCCACAAGGCATCAGACTTTCTCAAATGCTTTGATATTCACAGAGACCCCACCAGCCAAGACACAGGGAGGACTGAGCCAAGCAGGGTGTGCCTCAGGCTTATCTAACAGAAGAGCAGATGTTCCTTCTCCACCTTTCCCAGTCCCTTTCTGTGGACACTGATTCAATCGCTCACCCAGACCAGACTAACTTGACCACACCCAGATATATCGTTTCTGGAAACACAGAGGACCATTTCCCCCTATAATATTTAGCCTTCTTATTGTATCTGTGGCTTTAAAAACAGTATATCACAAAGAGGTTTTTGTTTGTTTTTCTTTAATTTGCCGGAGAGCACATGCCATCTGCCAGAGAGACAGAGAGTCAGGAAAAAAAAAAAAAAACAACGCAATAGGTCATGGCTGTGCCACAATCCCTTTTCCTCCATTTCTCCACCCTGTTACAATTTTGGACACACACACATCCATGCTTCCAGCCTGTTTCTCAAGCCACTGAGACTGGGATTTGGATTGTGCGGTTAACCGGCTGCACTACGCCATAAGAGGCTTTCAACCCCAACTTTGATCAGATATATGTTACTTCTCTAATGAATAACACCCTAACTTGAAAGGTTTTTATTTTCTCATCACTGAGAGAAATGCCTTACAATCATTCTAAATAAAGGAAGCTCAATATCCTAACCACTTAGTGTTCTAAGCGCTCAAGATTAAGATAATAAAGCTTTTGTTTCTTTGAGAGTTAACATATTTGAAGAGAAATATCTTGGAAATGTATTATAAAATGTTGGTGTGGAGGGTTTGGTGCCTAATCTTTTGCAGCTAAGGTTCAAGCTGTTTCTTTTGCCTACTTAATAAGCATGTGATCCTGTCATACCTACAGCTTTTGAGAGCCATCCCTGTTGGAATTGGCCAAGTGTACGGCTGCGATAACCCCTGGACTGGAGGCATTTTCCTCATAGCTCTGTTCATATCTTCACCTCTTATTTGCTTGCATGCAGCAATTGGATCCATTATGGGGATGTTAGCAGGTCTGTGTCCTCACTTTTTCTTGTTAATGGGCTATAAGAATGCTAGTGCCTTACTTAAGAAGTCTTTGCCTACTAGTGTTTCCCGTGTTTTCCACCAGTAATCTAATAGTTTGAAGTTTGAAGTTTAGATCTTTGATCTATTTTGAGTTTATTTTTGTTAATGGTAGCACATGTAGACAATGGACTACTACTCAGTCATAAAAAAAGAAAATGAGACCCCAGCATTTGATAGAAAGTGGATAAATATGAAAGATGTAATGCTAAGTGAAGCAAGAGAGGCATTGTATGTCCCCACTTAATATATACCAAATGTCAGCACTCTGTGGCAGAAAGTGAGAGATTGAAAAGTAGAAAAGCATGGATAGCAACTATGGATACTAGAGACAGTGTGGGAGGAGGATGGGCAATGGGGGGAGGTGGCAGGAGAGAGGGAAGCAACAGGGAAAAAAAGTAAAACATTTGACACAAAAGTGTAAAATTATATGTTAAGGAAGATGTGTATGGTAATATCTTTGACTGGACTAATATGCAGTGTTTATTGTATTCATGTTGGGAAAATCATTTTGTATGCTCCAAAGATGTACAAGGATTAAATGTAAAAAATAAGAAAAGATAAAAAAAAAAAAGTGACAGTGCCTTGGGCTGTCTGCGAAGAAAATGGTGATGTGTGTCTTTAACACCCCACTTGCTGATTTCTGTGAACTTTCCCTCTCTTTATTATACCCTGTTTCCCTGCTTTTAGCACTGTACTCTCATGCTCCCCTGAGCAAAACTACTCTCAAGAAAGATATGTTAGTCATTTATACCTTAGTGTGCATTTAAAGTTTGGGAGAGGTTTCTTCTAGACATATTTACTTCTTAAACTTTATCTCCAATGATAATAAGAAAGGTTTATTTTCCATTAGAGAACATTAAGATATCAGTGAAGAAGGAGAAGTTCAGTTTTTGCCTTTGGTAAGGAAAGGACATTTTCTGGCCTGTTAAAGACTTCAGAGTCCTTACTCAAAGGGTCTATTCCACCCACACAAGCTTGACTGCTGATATATTCTTGTGGCTTTGTGGCCATTCATTTTTCTTAGGGTTTTTTTTTTTAACTGAATAAAATCAGAAGTCCTTTATAAAAACCTGAGAGGATAACTAGTTCTGTACTTTGAAGCCTGTAGTAGGTTTCAGGGTTGGCAAGTGAGCACCGTCAGACCTTGAACTCAACACCAACACCGCCTTCTCTCCCAGCACTCACTATCGCGACCCCCTTTGAGTCCATCTACTTCGGGCTGTGCGGCTTCAACAGCACTCTTGCGTGCATAGCGATAGGAGGCATGTTCTATGTCATCACCTGGCAGACGCACCTCCTCGCCGTTGCCTGCGGTAAGTACTACCCACAGAATTCCCTTTTGACTTCTAATAATGCTCGTGTCTATCCCTGCAAGGAAGACTTCTCTCTCTTTCTCACAAGTACACAAGTCCTCTAGGGAAAATATTCCCAATATTCTTTCCTAGAAAAGATGTTCTGGATTGGATACGGCCATACATATTAAGATAATTGGGACCAGCAGTTAGCGTAATGGCTATGTCGCTGGACTCCCACGTAGTCGACCGCGGTTTGAGTCCCGGACCCGGTGGCTTAAACTCACGCCCGGCGCGTGTGCGTGCGTGCCCAAGATCCCGAGAGGAGAATGGAGGAGAAGGGATTGCGGCATGGCCACCCCCCGGGGGGTGATTTCCTGCTTTCTGTCTCTCTGTCTCTCTCTGTCTGTCTGGTGAGCACACACGCCCTATAGCAAAAACCTCTAAAAAAAAAAAAAAGATAATTTGGGGTTTTTTTGCATTTTTATGATAGACACCACAAAGATGCAGAAAACAAATTCTAAATTAGATGTGAGGAGCAAAGCTACTTGTTTCTTTCTTCCCTTTAAAATTATTTTCTGCTACCCTAAAATTCTCAACCTAAGGCCAGTACACTGTAGTTACTTCAGAAATACTAGCAGGTATACATTCAAAGGAAAGAGAATTAGTATGTCCAAAGACATCTGCAGCAAGAGTTATGATAGCCAAGATATGGAATCAACCCAAGAGTCCATCAACAGAGAAACAGATAAAGAAAATATGGTCTGTGTGTGTGTGTGTGTGTGTGTGTGTGTGTGTGTGTAGCTATCTATCTACACACATATATGCATACAATGGAATACTATTCAGCCATTAAAAAGAATGAAATCCTGTCATGTGATGCAAAATGGACAAGTCTGGAGGATATTATATTAAATGAAGTAAGCCAGGCACAGAAAGAGAAATACAACATGTTCTTACTTACATGAAGAAATTCAAGTAAAAAAAAAATGACTATGGGACCAACAGTTGAGGTAATGGCTATGTCACTGTATTCCCATGTAGCTGACCACAGATTGAGTCCTGGACCCAGTAGCTTACATTTACGCCGGGCGCATGTGCTTGCGTGCCCAAGATCCTGAGAGGAGAATGGAGGAGAAGAGATTGTGACATGGCCATCCCCCTGTGGGGTGATTTCTCACTTTCTGTCTCTCTGTTTCTCTCTGTCTTTCTGGCAAGGGCACACGCCCTATAGCAAAAACCTCTCCAAAGAAAATAAATAAATAAAAAGGTTTTTAAAACATGACCTACTAGAAGGAGTGAGTTCAAGAGTAACTAATGCTGATTTCCAAAAACAAAAATGTAGATAGATAAGAGGAACAATTTCAAGTGTTACAAAACATAGCAAGGTGAATATATATTGTCTATCTCAGAGTAACTACAAAAGATTTTGAATATTTCCAACACAAAATATTGACAAAAGTCAAGATGACAGATATACTAATTACCATGATTTTATCACTAATCATTGTATTCTGGTACTGAAAAAAATCACATTATACCCCACAAATATATACAATTATATGTCAGTTTAAAAAAGAAATCATAGTTGTTGTATTGACCAAATAAAAGGTAGCATTCCCATAACACCGGCTCCTAGAGAGGTACCTTATTTTTACCTTCAACACCAACTCTTCAAGGTTGGTATTGTTATTCTCACTTTAAAAAACTTTGTCAAAGAGCAGGGCTAGAACTCCAGTGAAATAAGTGAGGCACCTAGGAAGCAAAATTCAAGAAGGTGCCCACTCTCAGTGTTAAGTAGTGATGACCCTGACCTATCTCCATGTTGCTGAGAGTAGAAGCTGCCTTAAATTTTGTACCCCAAAACTCACCTCTCTCATCTCCCATCGGTCCCAATCTTATCAAAGAAATTAAATGACTCAAGCACAAGTTAAAGCAAGTCTGGACTGTGAACCTAGGTCCTCCTTGCTCCAAACTGAAGCTCTCTCTCCTCTCTGTCCCTCCAAAGCATCTCTATGTCCCAGATGTCTCTGATGACTCAAGTAGTACCCATCAGTTGTCAAGGAAACTGAGTCACATCACCTGTAAAGAGTTGCAGATGGGCTCAGTGACCCCAGGGAACATGAGAAGGCACTAGTTAAGAAATTAAGCCCTCCTTGGCTGGATCCTTGAAACTATAAATAGACCACACAATCAAATCTGGTATTTATTGATTTTTTACCAAAATATTTTCACATTACTTGATTAAATCATTATAAGAAGATGAAACTAAAGCTCCATTCTGTAGCTGTGGTGTCTGAGGCTCAGGGAGGTAAGTGGGCTCGCCTGCAGGAAGAGGTAAACCCAACCCTCCTACAGATTAGAGGAAGACCTAGAAGCATCCAGGAATGTACTTTCAGACCAAAATGAGAAAGCAGGCTATGGTACCTACAAGTTTTTTTTACGAGTTCAATGAGCAGAATGTTCTAAGTGGGAGCCATCCCAGATAATCTGGAATACCAGGTCAGCTGACTTGCGTGTACAGCCTCCTTGGAAGGTAACCAGGAGGCAGTGGTCTGGATAGCCCTTTCATCAGACAGAACAACCCCTTTTGAAATAAATGTCACACGAATATTTTAATTTGAATTAACTTTAATATTTTTTTAATAGGCCAGCAGTTGTTCCATGACCTGAAACTCAGACCCAGGCCTGGCTCTCCTTCCATAAAAATGTCCCAATGACAAAAAAAAAAAAAATTAATTTTCAGGTATCTTTAAAATCAGTTGTCATTTATTGGTTTGACCTTATCCTCTTGGGGGAAAAAAAGGAATGAGCACTAGAAATAGAAAGTTAAGGAGTCCTGAAGATTTTAGAAGGATCCAGGGCTATGGTGGTGCCTGGTCTATGCCTTCCTGTTCTCAGCGGTCCCCAAACTCCACCAGAACAGAGCAGTAGTGGCCTGAGGGGAGGAGCAGTGACAAAGCCCGGGACTGTAACTTGTGTCTGAGAAGCCAAAGACATCTGGGATAATGGGAAATGACATTACAGGAAATCCCAGCTACCAACCCCAAGTTCTGCTTATTTATTAAGGAATGTTCACGTTCAATGACCAACTTATGTCAGAAGTTATCCTGGCAATTCTCAACCAGAAGAGATTTTGCCCTTCCGCCGGGACATTGGGCCATATATGATGATGTTTTTGTCACATTGAGAGGAGAAGAAGGGACGCTACTGGCATCTAGTGGATAGAAACCAGGGATGCAGTTAAACATCCTATAGCGCAGAAGACAGCCCTATAATAAAGCACTACACAACCCAAAATGCCACTGTGCCAAGAGTATGAAACCTTGATCCATGTCACCTCATTGAATTCTCACAACCCTGTAATGTGCGTGGGTGCCACCATTATTCCTACTGCAGTGATGGAGAAGTGAAGCTAAAGAAAGCTAAATAAATGGCCCAAAGTCCAGTTTGTAGAAGTTACAGGTTTGCATGCACCCTATGGCAACCCTCCCCCCCAAAAAAAGAAAAATCTGCTGCTGCTTCTTTTTTTTCTTTTTTTTTTTATCAGGAGAGGTTTTTGCTATAGGGTACATGCCCTCACCAGAAAGACAGAGAGAGACAGAGAGATAGAAAGCGAGAAATCACTCCCCAGGAGGGGATGGCCACACCACAATCCCTTCTCCTCCATTGTCCTCTCGGGATCTTGGACACGCACACACATGCACCCAGCGTGAGTTTAAGACACAGGGTCCGGGACTCGAACCACGTCAACTACATGGGAGTCCAGCGACATAGGCATTATGCCAACTGCTGGTCCCACACACAACTTCTTAAAGCCAGTGCTCTCCCTGCAGCTGGAATAACCCAGGCTGGGACCAGTTAGGCCCATTCCCATGATCATAAGCCAGTAATAGACCAGACAGGTGGGGCAGCCAGGCATTCCCTATGGAAGTTTCCTTGCACCACAGCCTGCTCCACATGTCCCCTGGGACAGACAGTCCTCCCTCCAGCCCAATAGGCTGCATGTCTTGTTTCCTTTCCATCCTTCTAGTCTCTCCCTTCTCTCCCCACTCCACAAGCCCTAAGATCACATACAAGCAAGAGCACATAAGTAACAAATGAGATTTAATAAAATAAACTTGGCGAGCACAGATAAATACTGAGGCTCTGGATCCAGAGAAGTCAGTTGGAGTCGAGGTTTTCCGCTCTTCATAAACCAAGCCCAACATCCCACTTGGGCCTTATGGCTCCCCTATATTCTGGCGCCTTGATGGTGGTCGGCATGCCCTGCTGTCTCACCTCAGTTCTGGAAGGCTTCAGAGCACAGTGATTAGGAGCCCAGGCCTGGAACCAGGTGATTGAAGTTCTGCCAGTGTCAGCCCTGTAGTCACCTGAACTCTCTATGCCAGTACTAACAGGACCCACCTTACAGAGCTGTTGTTGGGATCAAATGGGATCATCTAACATGATGAGACCAATGCCTAATACCTAGGGAGTGCCTAGTAAGAACTGCCTTCTATTATCTCTAGGTAATAAACATATTCAGTGAGGATTCAGTGAACACAAAAGCAACCATTGCCTCCTCTTCTGTCGCAGAGAAATAAACTGCCTGGAATGATCCACGAGGCTGTTGCTGTTCTACAGCTTGCTTCATAGTTCTCGGTTGCTTTTTGGAGTTTTGTTTTTTGGTTTTTTGATTTTTTTAAGTTTATTTCTCCTATGAAAGAGAAAGAGACAGAGACACTTTCAACAGGTCTTCATACTGTGGTCGACTCCTAGCCTCAGCCAACTTGGATCATGGGTACATGTGTCTGTGTCTGGCATAAGAGAGAGGTCTCGAGACATGAACCCGGGACTCTTCCATACGAGTCCAGTTAACTTACCACTGTGCCATCATTTGGCCCAAACTCACTCTTTAATCTCCTCTACTATGCCACCTTTAAAATAAATAGAGACTTCTCCAGCTGAAAGACAGGCAGAACTATCGCATTAGCTAACCTCGCTGAGCCTCAATTTTCTCATTTGTGAAGCAATAGTAATAATGCCATAATAGTGCTTACGCTGTAGAAACGCGCTGTACAGTCAGGATTGCTTCAGCTAGGCATGTGGTAACTCTCTAATGAAGGTTAGCTGTTGTTAATATCCTAGGGACAATTGGGATGATCTCAGAAATTTAGGGTCTAGAAGCAAAGCCCAATTATGCTGGCCCATTTTAATAGCTTCTTACCTCTTGGCTCTTCCCAGTGGCCAGCCTGGTCATGCATTCTGCGGAGCCTAGAAGACAAGGTAGCAGACATATTTGGTGTTCCTCAGGCTTATAGAATGCTGCTCCTCCCTTGAAACCCATATTATGTTAATAACCTGTGATGAAATATTTCAGTAGGGAGCTCTGGGATTCACTTGCCTTTGCTGTATAGTAAAATTTTCATTTATGGTTTATGCTGTTAAATGTTCCTTTACTGGAATGCAAGGTGGTGGGACCCAGGAGAACTGTAACAGCTAAATTCTGGCCCTTTTTAACAAAGTTCATCTGCTGTCTTAGCTGTGCCGGCATTTGCATAGAATTTAATACTTCTAAGGCTGCCAAGCAATGGAAACATGACTCAATATTTTTTAAATCTGAGAGATAGCATTTGTGGCATAAAATGTAGAGAGAGAATACATAGACAAGTTTGAGGCACTGTTGAATAGTTACTGGTCTATTTCTTTGTTCTTTTCTAGCACTGTTTGCAGCCTACCTGGGGGCTGCCCTGGCTAACATATTATCTGTGGTAAGTCATCATTGGATAAAAACATGCCTTCATATTCTCTCAGCTTCCTGAAGCCTGCTCAAAACCCCTCCACTAAGAACCCTTCCTCAGTCCATCCCCCTTATTTTTTTTTGAGAGGTTTTTGCTATAGGACACATGCACTCGCCAGACAGACAGACAGAGACAGAGAGATAGAAAGGGAGAAATGCCCCCCTCCAGGGAGGATGGCCATGCCACAATCCCCTCTCCTCCATTCTTCTCTCTGGATCTTGGGCATGCACGCACACGCACCCAGAGTGAGTTTTAAGCCACAGGGTCCAGGATGCGAACCGCGGTTGACTACATGGGAGTCCAGTGACATAGCCATTACGCTAACTGCTGGTCCCAGTCCATCCCCCTTATTTCAAATCACATTACTCACCTTAGCACCTGCTGGAAAGAAGCAGCTGAAACTCCAAACTTTAAATGTCTACTGTGGGTCAGTCTAATCCCATTGTCTGTGAGCTAGAAGCTCCTTATAGAAGGACATTTTGGGGCTAGACATGATAGCATGTATTGCTAAGAGGCTGTGGTCCACAGGCTAAAGAAAGCTGGATGGGGCCACATGGGAGGCCCAGGTGCAGTCCCCAGGTCAACCTAAAGACTGAGCTGGATGGTGTGTGCCTGGAGCCCCCATAACTCAGAAAGCTGAGATCGGAGGATCCCAAGCTCCAGGATGACCTGAGCAACATAGCACGATCCTGTCTAAAAAAATTTCAAGGTTTTATCTTGTAAATCAAGCTCATTTTATTATATCACCCTTTAGAACTCTTTTAAAATATTTATTATTTAAATTTTGGGGTGTTTATAGATCTTCTGTCCAACTAGCTTGTGAGCTGGTCTACATCTTTATTAGCCCCATAACTTCTAGCACGTTTAGAGGGCAGGAGTCATTGGTGATACTAGTCTATCTGCCCCACAGGACTAAGTCCTCTTCTGGGCCCCGTTGCATCTTATGCACACCTTGGCCACAACACTTGACGTAGTTTTATGCTGAATCTATTAGATTGTCAGGAAAGTCATGATGCATTTTGTCATAGAAAAACATGTCATGACTTTCTTAACAACCTAGTAGTACTCATCAATCCTCTTCCAGCTTTAGCCTGTGTGCTCCTTCACAACAGTGACCCTACCACATTCTTATCTATATCTCTTGTACCTATTACAGTGCCCAGTATATAGCAGGTGCTCAAGAAATACTGAACAAATAAAACTCTAAGGCAGTGAGCCTTCACAATGGGGATTAGAGCTAGTGCTGTATAGCCCACCAACAAAAACACTGAGAGGGGACAAGAGGATAGAATGTGGCCTCTGGGGCTCCTATCTACTCCAGGCTTTATCATTGCTTCTTGCATCCTATCATTCACCAATTGTTCACCGAGTAGAGATGTGTCATGTGCCTTTCTTGGGCAGGTGCTGGAAGAGCTACAAACAGGAAGCTTCGTCTACTGATCATAGGTGTTTACAGTAGTGACTGTTTACGAAGTAACAGTTTATAACACTCATTTTAGACATTTTTCATGACAAAATCAAGTTTACTTCCTGTGTGTTGGCTATGTTTAAGACACTGTGCTCTGACCATTGTCAAGGAAGGAACTGTGTTCTTCCTTTGACCAGGAAGGAATTTCCAATCTCATTGAGGAACAGAATATAAAAAAAGTTGAGTGATATTTATGAGACCATTCAAGGCCTCCTCAGAAAACCACTTATGAGCTGTATTCTTTTGCTTTCTAACTGGCACATGGCAACTCCCCACCTCCCACAATCACCTCCACCATGTCTTCTACAATGCCACCATTTACTTAATGATAATGACAACATACTGAGGATGTTTATCAGTACTTAGGATGCACTAGACACTAACTCACTGAGTAGATATTATCCCCGTTTTGCTATTGAGGAAATAGGTCTCAAAAAGATTAAATGACCAGTTATATATGATTCAATGTAATATAAATAAGATTAAGGTGATAAAAAATAAATAAAATGTTAAAAAAAAGAATATTAAATGACCATAACAAGGTGTCATGAACTGAGATTTGGACCTGGGTTGTGAACTCCAAGACCACATTCTTTCCACTGAAGGAGCCCAACAGTGCTTCCCAACATTCCTATATCTTGTTCAGTCTTAGCAGAGATTTAGAAAGAGCCATGGAGTCAGATTTATTACTTCTGGGTATGCTTTACAGCTTCAACTCTGATACTAGGCTATCGTTGTTCTTCACAAGTTTATCCATGATGCCATCTTTGGACACAAACACGACTGGCATTGTTACTCCTACGGGATTATCTGATGTTTTATCTGCTTATATAAAATAATATTTGGGGAAGAGAGGACATAATTTGACTTGCCTCATAATTGAATTTATAGGCTCTTTTTTTATCAAACTATCTACTCACGCTATCTTAAAGAGTAAGAAGGAGTATTAAAAAGCCCTACGGCAGGGCCAGTAGGTAGCATGGCGGTTAAGACACTGTACTCTCACATGGCCAACTACAGTTCAAGTCCTAGACCCTGTGGCTTGAAAATTATACCGGTGTGTGTACATGCATGTCCAAAATCCCAAAAGGAGATTAGAGGAGAAGGGAGCAAGGCCATCCCCCTGAGGGTGATTTCTCACGTTCCCTCTCTCTCTCTCCCTGTTTCACTCCGGCAAGTGCATGCACCCTATGACAAAAAAAAAAGAAAGAAAGAAAGAAAAAATAAAAAAGCCCTAGGGCATCTCAAGGACTAAAACACAGGCTAACATCACAAGAGAGGGAGTTGGGGATAGAAAAGCCCTTGAGAAGGGAGACCACTATGATCCACCTCCAGCTTCCCAGGAGTATGTCATAACTCTGCCTCTCACTCTATCTTTCAGCTCTATCTCCCTCTGTCTCTCTGTGATGGGTCCCTTCTGCTACACATAGTTCCCAAATAGCAACTTGTCACTGGTTAATTCCTTTCAGTTCAAAAGACTTAATGGACACCATCTCTGTACCTCTTAGTTCAAGTTCATAAGAGAGAGATTCTATTGACCCAAGTCATATGCCTATGACAAGCTGTGTTTGAGTCAGGTGCTTATCTCCAGTCCCATCATTCATGACTGAAAAGAAACAGTTCTTGCCAAAGATAATCCTTCAACAGAGACTAATGGAAGAAGGTACAAAATGACCATAATTCCTATAGTTGGAAATATAACCTGGCCAGCCACTCTAAGACAAAACATGTCTACTAGGGACCAGCAGTTGGTGTAATGGCTATGTCACTGGACTCCCATGTAGTTGGCCACAGTTTGAGTCCCGGACCCGGTGGCTTAAACTTAAGCTGGGCATGTGTGTGTGCATGCCCAAGATTCTGAGAAGAGAATGGAGGAGAAGGGATTGCAGCGTGGCCACCCCCTCTAGGGGGTGATTTCTCACTGTCCCTGTCTCTCTCTGTCTTTCTGGCAAGCGCATGCACCCTATAGCAAAAACTTCTCCAAAAAAAAGAAAAAATTAGTCTTCTATAAAAGCCATATTATTATGCCTTGATGACTTCTACATGATGGCATATTAACCCTATGAGGGTTCCAATGACTATGTTTGAAGAGTGTGTACTCACCTGTTGCAATGCAGATTAATACCCCTGGCATGATTTTATTTATATTGGTCATCAACTAAAACCCCTTATCAAGGCCCACAAAGTATCGCTACCTCTATCCAGGGCTGTAGGTGATTGATAAGAGCTGATTAACAAGCATAAGCATCTGATATAACCAAGACTTCTCATGTGTTTCCTCTCCCCCAAGTTTGGACTACCAACCTGCACTTGGCCCTTCTGCCTCTCGGCACTCACCTTCCTGCTCCTGACAACCAACAACCCCGCCATCTACAAGCTCCCACTCAGCAAAGTCACCTACCCAGAGGCCAACCGCATCTACTTCCTGTCACAGGAAAGAAGCAGAAGGGCATCAACCATAACAAAGTACCAGGCCTACGATGTCTCCTAAGTGGCTGTTTCGAAAGCACATCACTGCAAATTCAACCTTCAGCGGACTGTTCCATTTTCCAGGCTGAAGGACACTTAACCTTCCCCTTTGTCTGCTCTGACTCTCCCTCCAAGCACAGGAAATGTATGTGTAGTCACTATTTAGGAACCCATCTGTTCTATGATTGCACAACACTTGTCAAAGATACGGTTAGTTTAGATTTTATACCCATCACTCACTCCACAAAAGCTCCCTTGAGGGGAACTAGCCCTCTTTTATAAAATAAGCTACATCCTTGAAGAGAAGTCATCAAGAACAAAAGATTGGTGACATGGTCACCCAACTCAGTTTAATGTAGTAAAAGCACAGTACTAGGAAATGTATGTTAACCTAGATGGCAAGAGGGCTAGCTCTGCCCCAGCTCTGACACTAATGACCTTCTACCACCTTGATAAGTTCTTCCTGCTCTCAACCTCGATTTCTTTATTGGTTTCGTGACAGGGAGAGACTTGAAATCCCTCTCCACCTAAGAAGTGTTGATTCTTCTCTCTCCCTTATAAGGGATAAAATCAATGTGACCAAGAATAATTACGCTGAGTTAGGTAAAAGATGGAAAGGTTACCAGGAAAAGAGGCAAGCAAATCTTAATGTTCTATGGAGATTTACTTTGGGGTCAAGAGAAGATGCTGTCCTGACATGAGGTTAGGAACCTAAGTTGACTGAAAATGCCATTGCACCTTCCTTTACATAACGAGTATTTCTGGACATGTCATAAGATAAAAACTGATCTTTATCAACATGCAAATGATAAATAAATGTATTTCCTTTTAAAATATTCATCACTATACACTCATTAAACTGTTTAAGTTTGCAAATTGGTATCAGAGTCTTCTTAAAATGCTGCTTATCATTTAAGGCTCATATATCACTCACTTAAGTTTTTAGTTAAGCATGTGTCTGAGAAGAGATGAGGATGGGTTAAAAATGATCAGAATAACCATGGACATGGTTTGCTGCTGGAGGATTGTTAATAACCCATCTCACTTTTTAGAGGATAATCTTTCAGCCTTGTACCGTAACTTACAACTGACCACTCTTGAATGACCAGTAACTGTTATTTAGTCACTCTATAGCAAATGGAGCTCCTAAACCACAAGACTCATTTGTGGAATGCCGTGAATCCCAGTCTTCCTACTTCTTCCCTAGATGAAGGGAATGAACCTCGTCATACCATCACGGGGCCTACATACACACACACACACACACACACACACACACACTCGCATACTTCCAGTTTAACATGGTAGGGGAAGGACAAGGAGGAAATGACAGCTTTAAAGTAGGAATTATATTTTGCCAAAATCCATCCTTTAGTAAAAACTGGCTTCAACATCTATCACTTCTCTGCCTGCTCTGAGATCCTGACCATCTTTTGCCAGCCCAAGAGCACTGAGCCACATAAACTTTTCTTCCAGACCATACCAGGCCCATTACAACTTCTCCAGGAAAATGGAGCTCTTCTCAATGGGAACAAATCCTCCACATAGGAACAGGGAACGAGTCACACTCCAGAGGCTACCTCTGAGTTTGTGATCACACCTTGAGGCCAAGAAGGTCTCGGGCTGTATTTTAATGATCAGAATTACTGCTCTCTGAGGATTAAGCATCCAGAAATTTCACCAGAAGGCTGTTTATGCTCACAGCTCACTCAGCTGCCCCAGGACCTCCAAGTGATGACATACAACTATTAAAGTACCAGTTTTCATGCATTTTCTACCAAAGTGTTATAATCTGGTTTTATTAAGAGCTCAAAACCCTTCACGTGCATGCCATTCTGATGACTGACCATTAATAAAACCCTTCAGCTGTTCTACATATTTCAATATCCTTGCCTATAAAGTAAGCTGACTTGGCTCAGAATGCCAAGAAAAGTGGAAATAGGTGGGGTAAAATAATTCAACCTATGAAAATGTACAATGTCTACAGGATCCCAGAGTAGTCATTTTGGCCCAGCACTTCTAGTAAGCATCAACAGTGCAGAGCTGGAGCCAGCTCCATTGGTTACTGAGAGCCAACGGAGCAAGTGAATGCATTTCTCCCAAAGCCATTCAGTGACCCTGTAAGCTTGAAATCAGCCACAGTGGTAGTATTTACACCACAGAAACCAGCAAACTCTACAAATCTGAGCAGGCACAAAAAATAGCAATAGATGCAAGCACACATACAAACAAAAAGGTTTATTGGAATGTAGGAGAGAATGGAGAGTAGGGTATAAAAATAAAAGGACATGCATACCTACGAACATTCAGGAGAAGAGTCTTTCATAGACCAATGAAGATAATATCCCAGGAACTAAGACACATTATTAACTCTCTCTCAAAAAAAAGAAATAGGGTGGGACACCCTGTGTACTATATATGTACATGCATATACACACACACACACACAATTTTTCCCATTGGTGGCATGTAGTAGCCCTAAGAAATACTTGATTGAGTAATTGAATGAAACATCTTCCCATCTCCACTCTCCCTCTCCATTCATTCACACTGACTTACTTTGAAATCTGTTTCACACCCACAATGGCATGGTTATAATAGATATTCAGAATCTCAGGCAGGCCAGCTGTCTGAATTTGCCTTCAAAACTTACTGTCTGTAGTCTCCTCCTAACATATATGAATAGTATTCAGGAAAATAATCCTCAGAAACAGGGGACCAGCATTTAGCGTAATGGCTATGTCACTGGACTCCCATGTAGTCGACCGCAGTTCAAGTCCCCAACCCAGTGGCTTAAACTCATACCAGGTGCATGTGTGTGTGGGCCCAAGATCCCAAAAGGAGAATGGAGGAGAAAGGATTGTGGCGTGACCATCCCCCTGGTGGGTGATTTCTCACTTTCTGTCTCTCTGACTCTCTCTGTCTTTCTGGCGAGAGCATGTGCCCTATAGCAAAAACCTCTCAAAAAAAAAAGAAAAAAAAAGAAACAGTACACATCATCTAACCCTAACATGCTATCATCTGAAGGGCGATAACTTCAAGTCTCTACAAACAGTCTTTTGTGACCATTCTGTCCTCGTGGACTCTCTATAATTTGGACTCCCAAACCATATAATGGTTTTAGGCAAGGTGCATTAAAGATCAGTAATTCTCAAGTGTATATTGGAATCACCTAGGGAAGTTTACTTAGTTATTTAGTTAGTTATTTTTAGAGAGAGAGATTTTTGCTATAGGGCTCGTGCACTAGCCAGAGAGACAGAAAGGAAGAAATCATCCCTCTGGGGGTAGGGGGCTGGCCATGCCATAATCCCTTCTCCTCCATTCTTCTCAGGATTTGGGGCATGCATGCACATGCACCTGGTGTGAGTTTTAAGGGGCCAGGCCTGGGACTTGAACTGTGGTCAACTACGTGGGAGTCCAGAAATGTAAACATTATGCCATCTGCTGGTCCCACCTAGGAGCTTATTAACCATCAATTGCAAGACCCTGTTCTCAGAGTTTGATTCAGCAGATCTGAGGTAGGGTCTGAGAATTTGGATTTCTTTGAGTTCTTAAATGATGCTGATACGTGGGACCAGGAGCCTACACTTTCTGGACTTAAAAGAGCTGCCACTGGTATAGACTTGGAAATAGGATGTTGTTGAGCCCAGCAGGTGGTGTGGTGGTTAAGGGTGCTGGACTCCCACATGGTCAACCGTGGTTCGAGTCCCAGACTTGGAAACTTGTTTTCTCACTTTCTTTCTCTCTCTTTCTCACTCTGTCCCTCTCTGGTCAAATTAAAATTAATTAAATAAATAAGTAATTATAAAAAAAAATTTAAAAAGAAAAAGAAACAGGATGCTGCCTCCAACCACCACTTCTTCCTCCACCAAACATTGTAATGGACTGGCTGCAAACTCTTATGCTTATAGCAACTGTCCTCAGAGCTTATTAAAGCAGAAATCCCTGGATCTCAACCCCCATAGATTTGAAATCCATAGATTTTTGGGGAGTCAAAAATCAGAGCTCTAACAAACTCTTGGATTTTGCAGATAATTCTGAATCAAGGTCAAGATTTTAAAATCATTGTACAGGTTTTCAGTCCTAGCTAGATTAGGATCACCTGACTCAGATGCTTGGGACCTTCCCCAGATGAAGTCCCCAATATTTATAAGCCTGAGCACAGGTATTTTTGTAAAGCTCCTGGGGTGAGTCTACCGTGCAGCTAGTGTTGCAAACAGCTAGGTTTCTGTTTCCTGGGCTCCACACTGCTGCCAGTCAGTTTGTCATAAAGGATGTTAAATCCTCAGTCCTCAGCCTCTGGCCCCAGGTGGTTTTTGACAGGAAGTAGTGGACTCCCCACCCAAGGGGTAAGAACTGCTGGATGCCTAGAGGCAGGAGGACCACCGACAGCACAGAGAATCTTCAGAAGGGTGTCTCTTTCTCAGTGTTGCTAGGGGCTGTCCCTGCACCCTAAAAAAAAACTAGATGAAGAAAAATGAAACCACTAACCATAACCATCCGGCTCAGCTGGCAAAGCAGACAAGCAAGGTTTTACATTAGCCTGGAAGCCTGCTGAGTGAGCAGCCTCTGCCCTAGGAGAGAAGAGCAAACAGTGAGTTTGTCACCAGCCCCTCCACCTTGCCCTTTTAGTCAGGCACAGGCGCAGGCAGAGCTGGCCTGGCGAAGAGGCATGGCCACTGGTGAGGAGCAGCAGGTGTGCCCTGTAAGCAAGCAGGGATGGGGTTGAGGACTGTCCCAGACGTAGGGATAGGAGCCGAAAGGGCAGGAAGGTGGGGACAGCAGACGCTGCTGCAAGTGGACACACAGATGGGCAGGTGGTGTGGATGGAGAAGGCACTCCTTCTAGACAGGCTGCAGGGAGCCCTGTGCAGGTAGACATCTGCAGTAGGAGGTAAAGCAGGTGGAGAAAAGCAGAACACGGAGCTGCATGAGAGAGCAAGTACTGACAGGACAGCTGGTACAATAACCGGAAAAGGGTAAAAAAAAAAAAAAAAAAAAAAAAGGAAGAATTTGGGGGGGGGAAAAAAAAAGGCAGAATTTTGGCGGTGTGGTAAGGCTCCACTCTTCCATGAACTTCTTGGGATGGGGGTAGCTCTCATTCCTTCCCTAGAACTTGCTCCTAGAGGGGTCAGACTAAGTCATGAGGACCCACCATAATGCTGGAGAGAGACTGTCACAGAGCAGAAACGGCAAGAAGAGTCACAGGGCTGGGATGTTGGCAAGTCAGGCAGTAGAGCATCTGTAAGTCCTGGGGTCCCAGCCACAATCCCGATAAGTCCTAGCAGGACTTCTGGGGGCAGGCCAGGGATGAATGGCTTCCACAGCCCTCCAAGAGTTGTCAATGAGCAGTCAACACACCCCCTCAAGTAGAAGGGGTGAAGGGGTGCTGGGCTGTGGGACAACTGTAGGGAGAAGATTCTCTAGAAAAATCTTGAGTGTTAGGAGACCCAGAGAGCATGATTTTGTCAAGTGTAGGTTGCCCCTGACTCTAGGTCAGAGGTGGCCTGTTACCATGCCATTTGTAAACTCTGGATCTCAACAAATTTGAGCTGTACTCTTTCAAGATACAACTTCCAAAACTGGTCAGTCATGAATCTTAATAAATATACAACTAAAAAAAAAGAAAGGAAGGAAGGAAAAATTTGCATGATTCAACAAGATCCAGGTATATTAAGCTAAATAAAGTCAAGCATCTTTCCTTCCCATAGGCTTCTTGAAGACATTAAAGTCAATGGGCCTCGATGAACCTTTCATCCCTGCTGTAAGAGAAGACCTTTTCTTCAGGGCCACATGTTAACATCCCTAGGAGCACACTTTTAAAGAGCTCATGTGTTGGGAGGATA